CACCACTGACTTACTGCTGCCGTATCTGTGTGGTTGCGGCTCATTTATTTGCAATGCCATTTCCAAAGCAAGTATTGGACCAGCAAGAAGAAGCATTAAACAATGATGGGGATTGGGGATCCTTCATTTCTTCAATTTTCCTGGTGTTCTGCTGCTGCTTGTTTTTATTTTATTTTATTGTGGGCTGAAGTCAAAGGGACTGATGTGCTAATTAGTTACGTGGTCTAATGAAGTCAAGGAAGGGAGGATTGTCAAGGGAAAGGACTAGACTTTCTCTCTGCCATGAATATAGTTCCTCTTTCTGTCGGAGACTATCTAAGTTTTTCTTGATGTATATGTGTAGGGGGTGTCAATTCGGGTCAGGTTCGGTTATCCAAATCAAAACCCGAAAAAATTCGAAAATTCGAAATCGAAAATCTCTAAAATCGAACTCGAACCCGATAAGGATTTGTGGGTTCCGGTTACCCGAAACTCGAAAATTCCTTATCGGGTTCGGTTAAAACAAAACCGAAACCCGAAAACCCGAACGTCTAAAAATACGGGCTGAGTTCTATTCATTGGAGGTTTTTAGCCGGAACCCGAAAAACCGATAAGCAAAACCGAACCCGAAACCAAAATACCCGAAACCCGAAACGAATCTGAACCCGAAAAACCGAAAATGTATATAATCGGGTCGGTTTCGGGTAAACCCAAAAAACCGAACTCAAATGGACACCCCTATTATGTGTCATCCTTGATTCAAGGAGCCATGTGGTGTTAGTTCTTTTCTTGGAAGCAACCTTCTGATTTCAATTTATTTTTGCAGCTGGACAAGCAATGTATGAGCAAATTGAGGAGCTAAGTAAAAAAAGGCTAAATTACACGTTTGGTCACTCAAATTACGTAAATTTTTCATGTTTACCATTCGAATTATCTTTCTTTCTTATTCGCCACTAACTTTATGAATCCTTTCACAGGTACCACCGGTCGTTTCACAGGTACCACCGGTCGTTAGTCTCCGTCAAAGTCCGTTAACTCCGTTAGTTATTTGATGACATGACAAACGAGAATGCTGACTGGACCATTAATTTATGACATGTACATTTAAAAAAAAATGAAAACTAATAATAATAATAATAAATTAACAAGAAGGGAAAGATTTGCTCCGGGCAACACTGTCCGTTCGACTTGCTCTCGCCTCCACTACTCAGGCGTCGGCGGAGGAGGAGAAGAACTGCAGAAAGATGGGGAAACTGGCGGCGCTGAAAGCAGAACCAACGCTGAAGCTACCGCCTGCAACAACAAGATCGCATCTCTAATCCCTGATTCCCACATTTGGAGAACACCGATTCGAAAGCGAAGGAATCCAGATCCATATCCAGATTTCACATTCGTCGTAGCAATCGGTCTCAAGGTCGCGGCTGGAGCCGAAATTCCCGCAGAACTATTTGTCGAACGCCATCGTGGGGCTTGCAATCATCCTGAAGGAGGGGGACTTATTGCTGTCCTTGGATCATGTGGTGGTGGAGGTTAACAGAGTGGTGGCCGACCAGACGAACGGGAAGTTGAAGGAAGACTTGTGGTCTTGGATTGAGAGTACCCAGATTCCAACGGCGGCCGGGTTCTCCTTGGCGGGGGCATCGGGGCTAAGTAGTTCGCCTGGGTTTGATGTTTACGGGAATGATTTCAGGTAGTGGAGGCGGTGAGGAGTAGAGCAAATTCGAAGGGAAGGTTACGGTGTTGCCCGGAGCAAATCTTTCTTCTTGGTAATGTTTTTTTTATTATTTTTTTTGTTTTTATTGACATGTCATTAAGTTAATTGTCCAGTCAGAAGTTTCGTTTGCCACGTCATCAAAAAACTAACGGAGTTAACTGACTTTGACGGAGATTAACGGCCGGTGACTGCTGGTGAAACGATTCGTAAAGTTAGTGGTGAGAAAGAAAGAAAAGTAATTCGGATGGTAAATGTGAAAATTTTATGTAATTTGAGTGACCAAACATGTAATTTAGCCGTAAAAAAAAAAAGAAAAACTAACTTTAGACCATGGTTGTCAAACCGGTTTCATACCGCCCGGTTCAACCGGTACCGGTAAGCAAACCGGTTGGAAAGGGGCCAGTATTTAACTGTGGTCAAATCCGGAAATTCCGGCCGGTTAGACCAGAAACCAGAATTTAATGTTACACATTATATCCAAAAATAAACATCCTCCATAGGATTTGAATCAAGCACCTCATGTTTATTTTAGTTTAACGTATACACCAGTAGGCTACAAGCAATTTTGTTGTCTATATTAACCTTATATGTTATATATCTAATACTAAATTTTACACAAATCATTATAAACATTAATAAAATTTATTTAATAAAATTTTATTTTTAAGCATCTTATTGTTTAGTATTAGTTACCAATTCTTAGCTATAACTTATTTTGTGTGAAATAATTCTTCTAATTGATTTTTCATGACTAATTTATTTGGAATTGAGGATTTCCATTTTCCTCATCTATTTTATTAAAACCGGCACAACCAGCATGAATACTGGTTGTACCATGGTCAGACCATTCCACTTACAAAACCGGCACACCGAAATAAACCGGTTTGACAACCTTGCTTTAGACGATCAGCATCACTCTCTCATTAACATGGAAGCATGAAAATATCATAAAGAAACTGCTTTTGTCAATATACATGGTCAAACAACTAATGACTCAAATTGGTAGCAATATGATAGAACTCCGGTGAACTATGATGTGTTTAGGTCAGGTTTGGTATTTGGAAATCAGGGATTAGAGAATCAGAATTGGAGATTGAGGGATTTAGAGGGATAATTGAGATTGGAAGAGGAATTTGGGGAAGAAGAGAGATAGAATGGCCTATGACCATAGGTAAGGAAAGGTATGAGAGATTGAGATTTGAGAGGGATACTTTTTTAATATGTTTCTTGATTCCTTCTGAATGAATGCCTATGGTAAAGACGAGAAAACCAAATACTAATTGACTACTACTAAACTGAACAATAAATATCTTAATAATAATAATAGGATACCCGATTTTCCTAGAGACCGAGTTCCTGTTACAATAAGTCATAGGAAAACGACCACAATGAGCCGCTTAACAATTTTATAAATAAAATATCAAAATGTCGAAGATGAGACCAATGTCGTATGCCCTACCTATGTGAAACTCAAGCTATCATTCAAGAGTATAGCCAGAATGATAGTTTGAACTAACTTTCATTCTCGAACCGCCTACAAATAATAGCTACCCCACCCCATGCAGAGTTAGTGAGCCATGCAATAGCTGACCATTTTGCGTGGTTCAGGGGCACTTGAGTCCATCGGTGGTGGCCAACTGTACGTGGGCAACGGGCCGTGCCGCCCACGGGCTAGCACGGCACGGCACGGTTAGAGCACGACACAAGCACGAGCACGAAATAAATGGGCCAGCCCGGCACGAGCACGAATAATTTATGGGCCGTGCCGGGCCTAAACTTCATGGGCACGGGCACAGCACGATATATAAGTGGGCCGTATCGGGCCTAATATTTTCGAGACTTTATTGAGTATAAGAATGGACATGGCACGAAAATAATATTTATTTGATAGAAAATAAATATAAAAAGAATTATATGTTCAAATATTACAAAACACAAGTAGAAAAATAATTATTTGTTGTTAGAAGTGTCATAAAGATATATACGTAATTACTAATATAAGTAAAAATGGACAAAGAATTAAACAAAGCCAAATCACACTCGCTGTACTTTCAATTTTCTTTTCCCCCTATTTGTTACTTTTCTCAAACATTATCGGTTAATACTATCTTCCCCGGTCCAACTTTCACCTTCTTTTTCATTCTCTCTTTTGTTTTCGTCCTTTTCATTAAACACGAATACGAGCATGACACGAGCACGAATAGGCACGGCACGATTCGAACCGTGCCCGGGCCCGGCTGGGCCTAGCAAAGTTGACAAATGGGCTTGCATGGCACGGCACGGAAACTGACGGGCCGTGCCAAGCACGACACGAAATAAATGGGTCCGAAGCGTGCCCGTGCCGTGCCGGCCCAAGCACGGCCCAGCGCCCATGTACATGGCCAACTACGTCTTGACACTTATCCAATTTTTTGACCAATTCCCCTTTTGCACTACTGAAAAGATGAGATTCTTGTTGAATCCAAGTTTGTTGCTCCAACGATTACCAAAACCATACATATTATGCCTATGTTTGGCTTGACTTTTAGAAGTGTTTTTTGGCTTCAAAAGCTGAAAGCAGGCCAAACACCTATAAAAACTCGACTTTTGAAAAAGTCGAAAAACACTTTTATATAACATAAAAGTAGAAGCTCCGATTTGGAGCTTCTGTGAAAAGTCGTTTTTAAAATACAAGATTATTCTTACCATATTTTAATTTTATTTCATTTATATCATTTTAAAAATAAAATAAATTATAAAATCATATTATTTCATATAAAATAAATCTAACAAAATCTATTTTGACTACTGTTCATTGTTTAGAATTTTCATTCATAGTTTATATTATAAGTCGTTTATAGTCATTTTATACAATCTATCATACTAAAAAGCACTTCTAATAATTTTTCAGCCAAACACTTAACTACTTTTTTTGAAAAGTACTTCTATAAAATTTCCAGTCAGAAACTGCTTCTGCTAAAGCTACATCAAGCCTAAATTAGCCCTATATTTAATACTTCAGGTGCTTCGCTTGCGTAGAATGTAAATCTCGTAGCAGATTTGCTATACTAGTGAACCACGATTAAGTTACTTGAAAATTGAAATACAACGAAGTCTTTTGATGGATTACCTCAATGAATAGGTCGACCGGTGACAATAATATTATGTCCCATTGTCTATATTGGCTTGTGGAAGATGGATAATTCCACAGTCCATTATTTTGCAGGCCCAGCCACCGTAGGTCCATAGCATTGCCAGTCCCAGCCCAGTCTTCATTTTCTCGCGCGCTTCATAATCAGCCCGGAGAAAATGGAGAGAATCAAAGAGCTATGAATTGAAGAGGGAAAAGAAACAACCCAAAACAAAGCAAAGCCGAATCCTCCGTCTCGGTGGTGCCAAATCAAACGAACATTTGATTTCACTCTCTTTCCCACGCTTTCTCACTCCCAGTGGCGGAACGCGGCGGCCGAGCCGGAGTCGGACGATCATGAGTTACCGGAGGTTCGTTAATTTTCGAATCAATTGAGATAGCGTGCAGAATTTCCCACGGCATTTGCGATTCGTGTTTCTCCAGATCTGATTTTCGATTGATAATTTTCTTCCTGGTGCTTTGACCTGCGGTGAGTGCTGTTTATGAGGATTACCTACCTGGTTTCAGTTTTCAGAGCCGCAGCAGGGAGATTCGTTCTTCGAGATCAGCTCTCTTCGATGATGGACTCGAGGAAGGCGGGTTGAGGGCTTCCGTTTCGTTTTCTTCGGAGATCAAGGAGCACGACAACGATGCGGCGGTGGATACTCTGCAGGACAGAGTTAGCTTCCTCAAGAGAGTAAGAACTCTTCCTTTTTATCCAGTGCATTATTGTTGTTCGGGAATTCGGGATGCATAAATGTTGGTCTCGATGTGAATTAGGGATGGATTTTAGGGTGAAGTTTGATATTACTCACTGCTGGGGGAGCCACAGTATGTGCAATTTGATAGCTCTTACTGCAATTTGCCTTATAGATTTGTCCATCTGGAATTGTGGAAGTCAGTTCATTACTTTCTGTGCTAAATGCGGTTTTGTTCAGCCGTATCTTGGTGGCATTGGAAAACCTTTCAGTTGCTTAGTGATCCACGCTTGTGAAGGTTTACGATGGTTGGATGAGGAAAGGTTTATGCATAAATTCTGTGATGTGTAGATTCAGGGAACAGTTCAAGGGAGTGTTTTTGTGTTCGTATGCACAGAGTGAAGTTTATAAAAATTCAGTATTCAACACCTACTAGATCTAGCTTATGTTATCTCTGCAATTTTTGCTGGTCGGTCCGAGAATCAGCTCTTCGAAACTCAATTCATAGATTCGCGGTGATGTGGTTACAACTAACACTGTGTGCACAAATGCTCTCCCGGCCAGACCGATGCTCCATCTTGCAGCTTATTGCAAATTTACACAAAATGTTGGATGTGTTATGCTGGAAAATGATCTCTGTAGAATAGGGAGATTCCGAACCTCTCTGTTTAACCTTGTGAGGCATTTCTGGGGTTGTCTTTGTGCAGATAACTGGTGATATACACGAGGAAGTAGAGAGTCACAACCGTCTGCTAGATCGAATGGTATGTGGTTCTTGCCAATCTTGAATATTTGTCGACTCTGCGAATTGGTAAATAAAAAACTTCGCTTTTCTTCGTTTCCTCAAACCAGCTGTGCTATGTGTAAATCAGGGTAATGGCATGGACGTTTCAAGGGGGGTAATGTCTGGAACCATGGATCGATTCAAAGCGGTAGGCAAACTCGACTCATCTCGCCGCTTTCCCCTCGTGTGTTCTCCATGTTTACTTTGGAACCACATCTGGATGACCTGGTTTAACAATGTCCGTGCTAGGCAGGTATTTGAGAAGAAATCCAGTCGAAGAACTTGTGCTCTTGCTGGGACCTTTGTGCTCTCATTTCTCGCTGTATATTACCTCTTAAGGTATTGCTCGCCAAATATAACACCTTCCCTTAGCCAATAATCTGTATGTATCTAGAAAAGGGGGCACTCACCTTCATTTTGAATGCAGGGTCCTTGGATTCTTTATATAACCCATGAAAGGGAAACCCTTCAATCAATGGATTGAAGTCGGGCTTATAGTTGCAGTTGCAGAATCAAAGCTCCATCCTTCTGGCTTTGAACCTCGCTCGGGAGCGTGTTACCCATATCGAATACAAACATGACACTGCCCGTGTCCAACAATATATAGAAAGCTCATTGTTGTACTGTATGTAGAAACATTGATAGAAGTTTACTTCAAATATCTATCAAAGATTCAAGGCCTTCCTGACTGTCTGGTAAATGTTGACGATTGGTCTTTTTTCTTTTTCTTTATGGGAGAGGAAAGTTGGAAAACTGGGAAATTTTGTGTATCATTTAGTCATTTACCTTTTTGACGTCCGGAACCGACATATTCGTTGGCCGGCAGATGGCTGTCAGCCTGTCAGTTTAAGATATTGAATTGAGTTAATGGCCATGTGCCCCCTAAACTATGGGTCTTTTCCTAAATTGATCCTTGAAGTAATATGTTTCCTATTGTGGCTCTTGAAATTAAAATATTTTCTTAACATAATCCCAACTCTATTTCACTTCTAATTATAAAAAAAATATTTCACTTTTGGTGCTTTCATCCTATTAACTAAATATATAGACACAAAAACAGTGGGAAGTCTGTTCCTCTAACACTACTTGTACATACATCTTAGAACGTTAAATAACTCAAGGGGGGGAATGCTACAGCAGTTTGTCAAACTTGAGCAATTCCCTTCTTCACCAACATATCATAGACTCTATCAACCTTGCTCGGTTCGACCTTGAACAAGCCATGGGCATCAGCTTTCTTCCTCACGCTTCCCTTCAACACCTCCGTCGATATTATCTGCATCATCTTCAGATAGTGTGCGGGTAGTATCCTCATTTCCTTGCAAAGTTGCTTCTCCTACAAGAAACCCAAGGATCATCTGGGATAAAAAAAAAAAAGCTGCAAACTTTAGCCTACATTAGCTCGTGTTGAATGAAGGGTAATCAAGGTCTTACAGATTCGGACAGCAACTCAGCTCCCGGGAATCCAGTGATATCCCAATCATAGAGGACATCTGGCAGTACTAGTTGCTGAGAACTAGTTGGATACTTGGCAGCTTCTCGAGGACTGCTGACATCAGCTTCTCCTTTGAGCTGATGGCCTGACCTCAGCAAGCCTTTGCCACTTGGACCAGCGACTTGTGTGCTCTCCTTTGCTCTCTGACCACTATGATCGCCTTCTTTCATCTTCTTCTCCTCTATGAACTGATTCGCCTCAGCAGCAGATCGACAGCCAGCCGCTCGGGCTGCCTGCTTATAACGCATCTTTTTCAGCTTTACTAATGATAATAGCGCTATATGTTAGCAAGGGTTCATTCGAGACAGAAGAGCAATAAAATCAAACCTGGAGCTCTGCTATCCGCTTAGCAATTCGGTGCTCCTCGATGACATTCTTCATAAGCGCTGCATGTTCTTCCTTCGAGTGGAACCTCATGAAAACTTTGTAACGTTTATATATTTCCTTCTCATCAGGTGCAAGGTTTTTCTCGAATGGATCGGGATAAAGCAGATTCCTTTCTAGTATAAAATTTTTCCTTCGTTTTCTCTCATCCAGCCTGGCAATCAAGATTACAGTCATATCTCTCATTCTGTGTGGTAGCTCTCATATTAACTTCATGCTAAAGTAACATAGAGGTACCTTTTCCCATAAATATGGAGCACTTGCAGTTTGAGTTGGCGTTCATAATCTGTATCAGTCTCTTTGAATTCCATGTCTGCCAGCATTTGTTCGGCATCATTGTCGTATTCAACCTCAAACTCCTGGCGTTTGAAGTTATAGCCACTTAACTCAGTTAAAGAAGGTCCTTCCTCTGCCAAACCCCTTGGCTTCTTTTCACCGATGCTTCTGTCAGCCAGGGATTCTATAAATCATGGATATGAAACAAGTATAAAGACGGGGTTAACTTCAACATTGAAGAAAAATGATCAGATTGCTAGAGAATGTGTATGGCTTACCCTCCAGTTTAACAGCGGCGTTGAGTTGGGCTATAGAAGCAGCCTTCTTTTTCCCACCAGGGCATGCCTTGCCGCTGCTTGGGCCAGCATGTGAACCAACTTATTAATGCACACAATACAAACAATGATGCATTAGGTTAGATTAAACCGCAATATGAAGACCGAAGAAAAGGCTACAAATGCATTTGTCCTCACCAACGCTTGACGTAGATGAAGAATCTACATGTTCTTTCTTCGGTGTTGGTTCTTCACTTCTAAAAAAGCACTAGATGATTAGATTGGAAAACCAGATAATAAGTAAATATAAAAAGGTGCGTAGATAACATGTAAAAGCATTCATACTTGATTTTCACACCAATGGAAGACTCCTCTCTAAGGGCAAGCTCCTCAAGCACAGGAGGGTCTGGTAGTAGATTAATACGGAAATCAAGCAATCTTATATGAAATCAATAACAGTGTTTATAACTGAGAAGAGTTGAAGGAATGATCAGGTTAGAGAGGAAAGCTACCTTTCCTTTTTATGCCACATTGCTTGGCCATTGCAAGAAGTTCCTCTCTGCTCTTTCCCATTATATGAGACATGTCCTGCAACAATATATCATTCAGTATTAGATAACAGCACATTGGTTGTACTTAGGTATGTCCCTGCAATAGTATATCAAAGTCATTCTCGGTATTAGGTATGACTATATTGGATGTGCTTAGTACTTTTAGTTGTTAAATTGGTCTTACTGCAAGCGGAAAGCACGGAGAGTTCATGTAGACAGTAGTATAGTGATCGATGCACTCAGATTTGCTCTTTGTCCCAACGTGTTCTCCAACTTCAGCCCAGTTTCCAAATCCATAAGTTCCAATGCCCTAACAATCAAACATATTTATTGTCTGACCATCATGTCCAGACCCATGGAGGACTATAAGAAGGCATTACCAACAAGATATTCACAAAAAAAGCAGAAGTTGATTAAGAGTGAATGAACTACCTCCAGGAGTAACATCTCTTCGTCAGCATTCCAGTCTGGAGAAATGAGTGGGAAAGACAAGTTGTCCTATTGTAAAACAGATCAAAGAAAACGACATAAGTACACAAGCCCCTATCCACACTTCAACCAGAGAATTACACAATATTGAAACAGGCTTCTCTCACCATAACCCTATACGGATGATTGCATTTGTGGGGAGAAACTTCAGCTCCAACACAAAAGCACTCCACACAGAGGTCGAAATCAGGACATACCGCACACTTCATTCGAACCACTCCTGAGATGTCTTTGCAACAGTAATTACAGTGGTATATAGATGGTTTCCCTATCTCTTGGTATACTGCATTGAACAAAGACCGAGGGTTACAATGTGGAAAACTCTTACACAATGAAGAAACGCAAAAGCCAATATAAGTTACTGAAAGCCATGCCAGTAGATGTTGAAGCAGTCTCCGCGGTCTGGGCTGTCGAGGCACCTGTCTTTCTTCTTTTTGATCTAATGGGCCAAAATGCAGAGAACTTCTAGTGAGTAAAACCATTACCCATTCATGGCAGCAAAATGAATCATCATAACATAAGTTTAGCTGTAGATGTTTTTCACTTGACGAAGTTCTATGTTTCCTTCAAAAATATCGACAGTTGGCCATACATTTCTGTATTGGCAAACAGGAGCTCAATCCAAAACTCCCAAACTTATTTTCTCAAAACCGAAATGAGCAGCAAGTAAATGGGCGTAAGAGGAACGAACTTTTGGGAGTTTGCAGAAGAGAAAAGATTCGCCATTTAAGGGAATAGAAATTACTTGACGGACCTTAGGTTGTTATCGTCGTTACCCGCCGCGCGGGAGACTCCCCGGTAGCGCCCCATTTCTTCAGCTGGAAATCGCGCGAAGGGAAAAGAAAGGTGGACGAGGGAATTGATGGAGAAAAGAAAACCCCACGGGAATTGTTGCGAGTCGAAAAGTTGTGATTTTCTCGGATTGGGAAATCGTTGAAGACTAAAGGGAGAACGAACTCGCAGGAAGGAATTCCAATTAGGGTTCGGACTTCGGAGTGTCTGAATTGCAGACTGGGAGACAGCGGATTATGCACACGCCAGTTTTTTTTTTTTTTTTTTTTTTTTGTAATCAGACTGCCGCAAAGGCGCCTAACTTGTATTAATCATAAATCATAATAAGACATTCGTGGGTAGTACCACTAGCTTATAACCCGGCCCGTTAGCCGGAATATTCATATTTGATTATTTATAATTTTATGTTACGTTTAAATCTATCAACTCGTTTAATTTTATTGAAAATCCTTCGATCGAGATGATACATATATAAAGAATATATAGATCGAATATTTGAAGAAATATAAAAATGTATCATTGATCTCATTTTCATAATGATAATTAAGTTCCCGGTAAAATGGTATTGGTTAGTTGATAATCAAGAAATATAGAGTATAAAAGCTCACTGAAATTCCCTTAGGAATCATAGATAGTTTGAAACTAAATTTTAAACCTCGCAATCCTACATAAAGGTTCAATGATTTCATTTTAGGAAAAATATTTCACTCATCAAAAAGAAATAGAGAGTTGTTGATTCAAGTCAACTATATGCTAACAACTCACTTAAGAGGGGACCATCACAACTTGAGAGCAAACGTCAAATTAGGGTTACCTCCAATATACTAATAGACTCTATCAAAGTAATAAGCAACAAAATTAGACACTCCTTCTCTATCAGTTCCAGTAGGTTGAATAAAGAATCGACCGACCTACTTCAGTAAATCAATCGATGATTCCTCGTTTTAAGATATAATTAGTTCGTCATAGCTTCAAAAACCATAAACCTAAAGATCCAATAGCCACCACTCTCCGTTGTACAATAAATTTTTATCCACTATATCTTCAATCTCAAGGCGTATGTTTCAACCAAAAATTCAATTTTTAATCCTCCTTCTGCACCTCCATTTATTGAACTCCATTCTATTCGCCATTGATTGATATCGGAATTGAAAACTTTTACTTTCCCAGTTTAAATCCCCAAGAATAAAATCATAGTGCCAAGAGACCGGAAGATTGATTTTCAAAGGCGGCCTTGTACTATGAAGTGAAAGGGAGCAAACTATTGCACCGTGGACGGAATTTCAGATGTCGTTAGAAAGAGATAAGAACAAATATAAAAAAGTACAAATTGAAAATGCAAGGACACAACACGTAGTAATAGAATTAGTTTATTCCATGTTGGCCAATTACCAATTTACATTTAGTGACAATTAAGGAGAGAGCAGTAACTATAGAATTGAGAAACTACATGAAACTCTGCTAAGCAAATTGATGTATCAATCACCATAAAAATACATATGGTAGACTTAGTGGGCTTGCTAATCATGATGAAAAGGTCCTATGTTTTTCAGAGTGTCACTTCGTGTATGTTTTGTGTTAAAAAAAGATACAAAAATTTTGTTTAGTCTAATTGGTTGCGATTGTTGTCTTTATTTGAAGAGATCCGAGTTCAAATCCTGATATTGACATTTCTCTCAATTGAATAGCAATTTTTCCATGACGATGAGAATCATTCAAGCTTCCTTTGATAATGGAGATCGCTGTAGTTAAATCAAGGTTGAGCTGCACCTTGCGGTAACCTTTGTCCCAAGCCATCTTAAGATCTTCAACAACACCTTTTAGCTCTGTTGCCGTGATGGAGCAGTTGCCAAGGTTACAAGTGAAGGCACCCTTGCATCTCCCAAGATGATCTCTCAGCAGCCCCCCCAGCAGCTGCACTTCCATTTTGCGCATTAACATAACCATCAGATTGGATTTGGATCCAATCCTCCTGCGGTGGCTCCCATCCCACCTGTGTACAGCTTCTGTTTACCTGGGTTCCAGCTTTGAGTTTCTGGTCATTCTAGTGAGCATGCTAGACAATGCTAAAACACGTCAGCTTTTCTGTAAACGGTCAGCGAGTGATATTGAGTCAACGGACTTTTGGATGTAAGTGTGGACGGAGGAATTACCAATTTGTTATCTGTCCAAAAGCGTTCTATTGAAATGTGAAAAATTAAACTTTAATAATCGTTTTGTACTAAGGGTTATGAAACTAATGGAAAATATAAACAACTACAAGAGAAGATTAGAGAGTGAAAGATACAAGAGAAGAGAGGGAAATAGTTCTTCTTATTCATTCTATATCTTTTGATACAATGATGTGCATTATTTATAGGCACACCTTGGTAACCACTACATCTTTATATCAATGAGAGATAATGAAACATAAAGGAGTTATCAAATGTAGGAATGGGGGTTACATGTAACTCCCAAGTGAGCATCTAATGTGGTAATGGCAATGGTCATCCACATATCAAGATTTACATAATACTCCCCTTTGGATGACCACTAGACTGCATTACGCTATCTCATACTGCCTCGTTAAAAACCTTACCAGGAAAACCCAGTGGGAAAAACCATGGTGAAGGGAAAAAGAGTGCAGTGCGTATATGCTCCCCCTCATGACCACATCATTTCAAATCTTTGAGTCGTTGAACTCAAATTTCACAAACAACTTTTAGAAAGATTGTTGTCGGGAGTTAGTTAGTGAACAATCTTCTAGATTGTCAATCTTATGCATGATATTTAGATTTTTTTATACATGATCGTCAGGATCATTTCCTTTAGAAATAGTTTACAACCACAAGTCCTTTAGATATGGTGAATCACAAAGTGTAACGAAATACATTCAGGACTTGCCTACTATAGTTTGTTGTGGATATCTATGAAACAATCACATCGCCATATGTAAGAGATAGCTCATCTCTGATCAACCAATATGAGGATCAAATAATATATAGGATTTGGATATATAGTTCACCAAATCTCTCTTTGATAGTACCACAATAGAACAATCGCATATATTGTTCGTGAAGGTAACAAAGTATCTCCAACGTTCCATTGAGGGAAACATTGTATTTTGCTAATATTATCAACACCAAAATGATAGTTTATATGGTGTTTGGCTAGCAATGTGAATTGGTGCTTTGATGCATCAACATATGGTACTTCAGGACCTAGTACATCAACATAAAGTACTTCAGGACCTAATGTCTCACTTCTTTCTTGATGCCTAAGTGGATCTTTGGTCACTTCTGGTGATCTTAGGATCCTAATGTTATTTGATGAACATAATTTGTTCATGCAAAATTACTTTTCCACTTTTTCAACGTTACCTTCCTTTCCCATAAAAAGAATCTTAAATCCTTCAATTTAACTTATGTCGTTAAGCAATCAACTGCTTTAGGAAGCTCTTCAGGATTTGTCAAAAAAAAAAAAAAAAACAGCTCTTCAGGAGCTCAATAATAGACATATCATCAACATAATATGAGATCGTCACAAAAAAACTTGACTAAAACAAACTGAAGCAAGCAATTCTTTCATATCACGAAAGATATTAACAAAACACACATCATAGAAACATATGAACTAGACAAAGCACACTCATAAAACACAACTCATACTTTAAAGTAAATCACAACACATAAATCAAGAATTTAAAATCCTTGAAGCACATACAGACAACACAACTATATATGCACAATGCAAATGCTCTAATGACTCTTTCCGGATTTAACCTCTTAAGGTCCATTCACCCTACTGTTGTAGGTGTTCACTTAGACGAGTATTTCACATTCGTCTATATTTTCTCAACCCACACAAGGGATTTTCTTAGTCTATCGATATATGTTCTCGAGAACTTTACTTGTTTACTTCAGGTAAATTAATCCTTCTAGCAGTAACTAATCCTTCAGGGAGTTTCAAATATATATAACATCTTCAGGGAATTCAAGCAAATTTCAAACATTGATTTCAAAAAGTAGTTGCATCCACCACAGGGGAGTATAACTCCTCTTAAACAATGATAGGTCTCTTCGAGAAACCCATTGCAAAACATTATGTGATATCTCTCACAATTTCATACTTTCCAATATCACAAAAATTTGTTTGTATCCCGCTAGTTTTGCCCTTTTTTAGGTGCAAGGACTTCTGGTCCTTAAACTTTATGCTCCTTAAGCAAGTTTCATGATTTCTTTCTATATTGGCCAATAACATCATCATTTGCATGCATCAATAGAGTTTTACTCTTGATCCTCACATTGTACATATCATATTTAGTACTGAAGTACAACAAACAAATTTTCATTGACAATGATTTCATTACGGTTCCAGTATTGTAGTCTAATATGGTTTTGAGATCTCTTCGCTTTCACAACTTTCAGAGACATGTGTTCTTCTGGAACTAAAATTATATTTTATTCTTGGTTACTCTTCTTGAGTTTTCATGTCCTCGAGTTGACCATTCTAATTACAACTCCTTTTCTTTCTCGAGGATGTTTATAATTGGAACCGATTGGTCTATCGCGCTTCATGCGTTCTTTCATACACATTTTTTTATATTAGAGTATCCAACAAGGATATCAAATTTAGTTGGAGCATTCACAGCTAGTATATGTGACTTGGTCACTTCGTATGGCCAGTAAAGGCATTTGATAGTTGGTAATGATAATTCATCTTATGAACTTCAGGGTTCATGTTTCTTAATTTGAGGATCAAAACTAGATATAATGATAACTCATTCCAACTCATCTTTTTGTCTAGCTGTTTTTTTTTCTCTCCCCCTTAATGTTGGAAAAGTAATCCATCAAAACAATAATTTCGCAAACAAATTTCCATTCGGAATTCATACCCAACACAAATTCTCAATTTCCAACGAGAATCAACTTAAGATACTGTGACGGAGCAATTGGATGTATGCGGCACACCCTGGTATTCTCATATGAGAAATGTTAGGTTTCTTACAAAAACCATTTGTAAAAGGGGGAACTTATGATAACTTGTTGGTTAGATGTGAACCAATACTATCACTTGTCAGCTAGCATGTCCTCGACAAGAGACCAGAAGGCTCGGCTTGTTCTATTAAGCAAAGTGATGTTCGATTGGATAACCATCAAAATGTATCCATAGTGAGACAACCAATCTCGCAAACATCGGGTTGCGATTAGATAAAATACATTTGATGCAGCAACCCATAAAATTCACAAATGATCCACATGACTGATGTATTGTTCTGCATACAAGTCCATAAAATCTCAAGAGATTTGTCAACTCTTATACAAGCGATGATCAATTGTTCTATTCTCCTTGAGAACAAACATGCCATAATAACTCTTTTATTTGAAGAGTTCTTTGACTTCTCATATGATGTTCTCATGAATTCTCAAAGAATTTTTTTCACATCAAGATCCGGGATGGTCTAACCGGACCAACCAATTATCAAGTTATCAAATCTTGTAAACTTCTGGTTTACACTTTTATGTGTACTGATTGTACTAATATACATGTAGTACATATTTGTGATGCAAATATTAGTTTCACTATTTTCTTGATAAGATATTCATTTTACGAATATCCTTTTAATTGGGTAATGCATCATCACTAGGTAGTTTGGTTCCTTCAGGCCACAAAATTAGCTCCCTTTAAAGCTTTATCATATTTTGTACCATATTCCACCCTTTCGGGGACTTATGATTTGATGCATTCTTAGTAAACACAAATTCATAGTGAATATCATCACAAATTGTTATCACGAGTACATAATTTAGTTACTTCAAGTAACCAAACATAAGCTCTTCGGAAACTTTTTCTTATTTTATGTACTCTACCATATAGTTTATATGTAATTTTTCTAACAATCATACTTTACAAAAACATACTAAAATAATAAATGAGTATTTCAAACTTAAGACAAAAATGATGAACTTATCAAGTTAATTGTTCTAGATAAATGTTATCAAATTAAATTATGCATGAAAAATAACGTCACAATAAAACATAAAAGAAATAAGAATCATAATACCACAATTGTGAAAAATAAATAAGATTTATTTGGAACAATACCATCACTAACTAGGTGATTTTAAATTTATATATGCCTTCAACATTGATAAAAATAAAGATATATGCCTTTCATTATACATTTCAATGTACAATAGGTACCTTATATTATCATGACTTTGATAATATAATTGTTGTGTCATACTTATTTATAATTCTCCTTTTTCTTCTCTTTTCTCACTTCTGGTGAAAATATCCAAACAATACATTTAACATATATATAATTATGTTTATAGCTCCATTCACTTCTGGAAATGAAAATTTCTCAAATGATATCATTTTCATCTTTAATGGAGAATATACCAACTTATATTACAAAAATATATTCCATAATATTGATATTGCATGAGTATATTTGAATTTGCTCTTCTCTTTGATTCTTGGTAGAATAAAGTCTTTTGCGTACAACGGGTACGAGACAAACGCACTTTTCCATTACAATGGTAACATACAAAACCAATATTCTGGTTACCATGTCCACTTCTTTCTTTGCCCTTGGATTCTTCAATTTCCACTTCTGGGGAATATATGGGCTCTTGAAACTTGCATTTTCCACATATCAATGTATGATGGATAAGAATAGGATAACACTTAGAACTGAGAAATTAACTCATCACTTATATTACTTTTCTTGTTAATCCAAATAGATCGACGTGATAAAATATCAATGGATACAAGAAAAGAGTAGCACCCATCTTGATATATTGGAATGAGATAATGTCAACACAAATAAGACAATAAGATAAGAAAGGATATAATATTTACATACTTGATTATAATGTGATCTTACTCAATAATATATCTTAGATATTGTGATCTTAGCAATGATAATTTTGGCAGAGCTTCGTGCTGATAACGTGTTATAAAACTAATGGAAAATATAAACAACTACAAGAGAAGATTAGAGAGTGAAAGATACAAGAGAAGAGAGGGAAATAGTTCTTCTTATTCATTCTATCTCTTTTGATACAATGATGTGCTTTATTTATAGGCACACCTTGGTAACCACTACATCTTTATATCAATGAGAGATAATGAAACATAAAGGAGCTATCAAATGTAGGAATGGGGTTACATGTAACTCCCAAGTGAGCATTTAATGTAGTAATGACAATGGTCATCCATATATCAATATTTACATAATATTAAGTAATAAGTTGTGTGAGATTTATGGTAAGGCTAAATTGCAAGTTTGGTCACTTGAATTATTAGTAAAGTTCACGTTAGCCACTAGAATTATTTTATTCTATCCGTAGTCACTTAAATTAGTTCAACAGTTTAAGTTTGGTCACTCTCCGTTAACTTTGGCTGACGTGGCAGTCAACTCTAAGAGTTGACCGTTAAATAAGTGACGTGGCAATTGTAAAATAATAAAAATTTAAACATTTAAACATTTTACAATTGCCACCTCATTATCCTAATAAATTAAAAATAAATAAAACAAAAAAATATAATTAAATTGAACAAACCACCATCAACCTTCCTCTCCCCGGCCAAACCAGCAAGGGAAGCTCCTGCCGAACCTCTGGCTCCAACATCGACTCTAAGATTGAGACATCATAGCACTGAAGCACCTAGCTCTGGGTGTAAGTTTTCACAACGTTTGTTCTTCCGTGCATTCGTCAAGGAGAGGTAAACTAGATTCGTCCCCCACAATCCCTAGTCGGAGGAAATGTCTACGTTCAGTGGCGATGAAACAACACTTCGGCTTCCTCGGCGCCGCTTCGGCTCTCGTCTTCCTCGGCGATGAAACAACACCTTTGTTCAGCTTCCTCGGCGCCGCTTCGACTCTCGTCTTTTCTTGTAATCCGAATCCCGCCATCTCTTCAGATTTCAGATCCGCGATTAAATTGAAAGATGTGGATCTTTCTTCTAAGCACGAACTTGTACTCTCATTCGATTTGGTAATGGTGATTTAGGTATGGGAGCAGTCTACGGGACGGCGAAGAGCGGCGTGGGAGTGGCGTCGATGGGAGTGATGAGGCCGGAGCTGGTTATGAAGTCGATAGTTCCAGTTGTAATCGCCGGACTCTCTGCTGGCATGGCCATCGGCATCGTTGGAGATGCCGACGTCAGGTACTAGGGATGACAAAAATATCCGTAACCATGGATATCCGCCCGAATCCGACCTAATCGGTTAGGATAAAACTCGAACCCGAAAGACTTTTAGTGGGTATGGGTAAAACCCGAACCCGAATATTGCGGGTAATGGATGTGCATGGTTTTCTCACTATCCAACCCGAACTCGCCCGATTATGCACATGCGTATGTATTTTTTCTAGAAATAATCAATATTTTTCTCTAAAATATTTTATATCTAGCATATAAATATAATATTTTTATGAAATTGTGTTGTTTTCATTAATTTTCCTCATTCTAATGAATCACTGTCGTACTTTTCGTCTTACATAACGTGAGAATACGTGTGAATATTAACATATTGGTTAGTGTTATAAAGAAAAACTACTACCCATGGATAACCGTGGATACCCGAAACCCGAACGGGTATGGGCATGGTTTGGATTTTTTTCTACCCGTTTCTTATGTGGGTATGAGTATGGGTAAAACCCGAACTACTTTGGGTAGGGTAACGGATATGCACTATCCGTCCTCGACCCGACCCATTGCCATCCCTATCAGGTACCACCTTCAGAGACCCTCGTAGTCGTGGCAGCCGCTGCGGATTATTCAAGTTAATTATAATTGTTTTGTTTTATTTATTTTTAATTTATTGTGATAATGAGGTGGCAATTGTAAAAAGTTTAAATTTTACTTTTTATATTTTTTAATTGTCACGTCACTTATTTAACGGTCAATTCTTAGAGTTGACTGTTACGTTAGTCAAAGTTAATGGAGACTACCGAAGAGTGACCAAACTTAAAATTGTGAACTAATTTAAGTGACTAAAGATGGAATAAAGTAATTCTAGTGGGTAATGTGAACTTTACTAGTATTCAAGTGACCAAACTTGCAATTTAGCCTTTATTGTATGCGGTCATGGGTAATTAGCCCAAAATTTAGGGTTTCCCTTTCTTTCGTGCGTCTCCTGGCCTCCCCGCAAAGAAAAGCTCTCACCACACCAAAACCTCAAAATTCAAAAGTATCAGTACTCAGTCAGTCGCCGGACATCCCACTCGCTGGCCGGACCTCCCGCTCAATCTGCCAGTGACGATACTCTGTTCAGTTTCCGGTGTTCGCAGCGTAGATTTCGCAACTTCGACTCGGCTTTCGATTCTTCTGCAACCTACTCGTAATCCAGGTAATTTGATGAGGTTTATGAGCTTGAGAGAATGATATCTAGGTGTTATTTCTTTTGTTTGCTTAGTTTAGGTGTGATTGGTCTACCTACCTATAATTGCAGGGAGAAGAGTTGTGTGCCATTCTCTGTTAGGACCTCTATTTGATTTCAGTTCGGGTCATTTCATTACCTTCAATTCAATGCAGGTCGCAATTTCCAATTTCCTTCATCTATATTATTGTGTATTGCAGGAAAATGGTGGGACTTTCGCTGGGGGAGAAGCATTTCATTAAGGGGGGCATCGATCAGAACATCCGTAGTGATGGACGGAAGCGAGACTCTTACCGGCCGATTTTCGTCGAAACCGGTATCATCCCTCAGGTAATAGCTCAAATGTAGCTTCAGGGATTTTAATAATATATTTGATCTTCCCCTTTTTTTCAAAGTTTGGTCTTGTTTGGGGTTATTGATAGGCAAATGGCTCTGCTCGTGTTCGAATGGGGGCAACAGAAGTTATTGCCAGTGTGAAGGTATTTCAAAAACAGGGTTCTTACGTTTGATCTGTTCTTGCTCGTTTTCAGTCTTGTTTAAGGTTCGAGTGTTTACTATTATGCAGGCAGAGCTCGGAAGACCAAGTGCTTTGCATCCTGACAAAGGCAAAGTTGCCATATTCGTTGATTGCAGTGCTGTTGCTGAACCAACATTCGAGGTTTTCTATTTCAGCTCTTGGCATTTTGTATTCTTTAGTACTTCAATGTTGTTTCACCAGTTGATTCATATCTGCAAGTGTAATCCAGGGAAGAGGGGGCGAGGAGTTATCGGCGGAACTCTCAGTTGCCCTTGAACGCTGCCTCTTAGGTGGCACAAGTGGAGCAGGTTTTCGCTCTTACTGAAGCTACGCTGATTTGTAGTTTTAATGGCACTACTCCATAGATTATTGATCATCCAAGTGGTTTGATCTTGTTGCAGGTGCAGGAATCGATTTGACTTCCTTGATAGTAGCAGAAGGAAAGATTTGTTGGGATCTTTATATCGACAGCCTTGTCATTAGTTCTGACGGGAATCTACTTGATGCCTTAGCTGCTGCCATTAAGGTACCCTAGATGATCCACTAGATGCTTGATGATTTTTCATTGTAGTTCTATAGCTTTAAGTTGATGAACCCAACTCAAACACGTTAGTATATGGGTTATAGTTAGCAGTCTAGCCTGTTTAGGTCCCACATTTGACACAAATTGGATGCGGATCTTTACCTTTTTAATGATTCATTGGTTGGAGGGCACGTGAGTTCTTTCTTTTTTATTTTTGTGGTATGAGTTCAGTTTTTTAGCGCAGGGGCACATTTCAAATATATCCGTAGTCCGAGTGATGAAATGCTTATACAACTTCTTTGAATGCTCTTGTGATGGTGTTCTTATCAAACTCCTTAAGGCTGCCTTGGCTAATACCGCCATCCCGAAGGTCAACATCTCAGCTGCTGCATCAGGAGATGAACAGCCGGAGGTGGACATAAGTGACGAAGAGTTTCTACAATTCGATACTTCTGCAGTCCCCGTAATAATCACGCTAACACAGGTAACAATTGTATTATCCGATTCGTTTAGTCTGTAATATTGAATCACTTGTTCATGTTCTAACTCAAAACTTTCACTCTATTTTAGGTAGGGAGGCACTATATTGTGGATGCTACATCAGAGGAGGAATCCCACATGAGCTCTGCGGTTTCCATCTCCGTCAACAGGAAAGGGCACATTTGCGGGTTGACCAAGCGAGGAGGCGAAGGCCTTGATCCCAGCGTTGTTTCTGATATGATTTCGGTCGCTCAACACTTGAGCGAACTGCTGATGAGCAGATTGGATTCCGAAATCTCAGCAGCAGAGGCCGAAGGTGGAGATGAAGAATTGTGATGCTGATGAGACTTTTGGAGAACCAGTTTTGACCTTTTAGTTACCTAATGAACATTTTTTAGATAGTCGTAGCTCTGACATCTTATGATACTTTGAAACGTGTTGTGTATCTGCTAGCAAATGTCTGATGTCAGGACATATGGTGATTGATTATAGCCGTAGCTCGGTCTACTTCTACAAGTACTTGAATCATGAGTTGCCTTTTCTCATTACTAGAAAAAATACCCGCTGCTACGCCGCGGGGACTTTAGTTGCAGAGTCATGGGCAGTTTAATTTATGGTCAATGCAGGTTGTCGTAGTTTTCTCTGATGTAAGGAGGTGGAGAGTCATGTTTGTGGGCATTCCTTCTACTAATCAATATGAGGCTGAGATTGTTAATGCTAAACTGAAAGTAGACATGTTGCTGACACATCAGTCGGCTAATAATTTTCCATGTTTGAGGAAAGACATATAAGTGTCATGTCATCCACGCGACATAAGCACAATGGCAGATTGAAATGGAATGCAAACAAAGATCTGAACTCTTCAGCCTGAGTGGTTTGACTCCTCACTCCTTACTAAGCCAGAAACGAAAGGCAGACAGGAAAGCAGCCAGCACGTGAAGTGATTGAATCAAGAGGGGCTGGATCATACTGCTGGCTTGAGGCTGGGAAATCTATAAACCTAGAAGCACAAAATGAACGTAGTCAATGACAGTAAAGATAAGTAATTAACTGAAATGTAGTTTTTCCCTACGAATGATACAATTACAAAACTATTTAGTACATTCTATAATTAGTATAGGCAAGCATAATCCTAGGTTAGTCTAATTTTAATGAAAACCCTACTAATTAGGACACTCGATACTTTTTTTAGCACCAAATGAATCTTTTGTAATTCATGAAAACCACCCATGACTGTTTATGACTTGGACACAACCAATCCAAAGTTAAGATCTGATAGCCTTTTAAGATGGTGATGACTGATGAGCAACTGTAAATTCAAATAAAAAATGGGGAACAAATGGGAAACAAACATACGTGTTTCAGGAATATGCAGACAAAAAACGCTATTTGTAAGTTCAATAATAAAAAGCCGATTGACTCCAAAAACTATATCAGTAGGGCAAAGTCTTCTTTAAACCTCCTTGAACAGTAAAGTTGTCAACTGTATCATTCCTTAAACGTCAGAAAGCAAAGCTAAAATCATAACTACCATGCCAAGGCACCTATACGAAGGAGTTTAAAGTAAAGGATAATGAAGTAGAGGCGATGCACACACGTACGCTGTAAGATAAATAATACATACCCAGCTGAGACAGATGACTGGAGCCTGGCACGTACTGCGGCTGTGGTATAACTCTCTGAAAGCTTAATAGGTGTCGACGGTGTAGTTGCAGCTGAGAACACGACATTGAAGGGTATGGTCAGGTTTGTTTTAGTAATTACGACAAGAAAAACATAATTTTTGCGATATGGAAGTCAAATATATCAGTAAATATTGAGGATCCAATAATCAGAATCAGTTGCATAAAAGACTTTGATTTGTGGTACACAATACTATCATTTGTACGCCCATTGAGATGCAATTCTGTTATCGGGCAAAATACCAACGACATCTAGACACCGAGATAGACCATGCAAGAGATAGCATAACAAAACTGCAAATGCAGAAAAGCCAGGAAGGCTCTTTCAGCTGGTTCTTTGTCTCTGAATTCTGATAACTTCCTACAGGGTTACTAATTCCTAAGTGTCAAGCATGCATGAAAATTTGGAAAAACTGCACTGCATAGTTAGGTTTGATGTCCCTGCTACAACCTCTGGACCGTATAAGCAGCAAATGCAAATCTAAATGGCAAGTAACAGGATAAAAAAAGCATGAGAAGGTGAACCAACCTCTTGTCTAGGGTCTGCATTGCTCACAGAACACTGGAATTTGGACTAATGAAGCATTACTGGAACACTGAAATGTGAAATAATGAAGCACTCCTGGACTATGAAAGAATCTTTTTTAAAACCCATTGAAAAGTAGGTGGGCAAGCACCAAACAGGGGATCTTGGAAGCTCAATCTGAGTTAGAATCAAGCAAGAAGCATCGAAGTGAAAAAGATAACTCAAGCATTGAAGTAAGCCAGATAGACTGCACTCTCAAATTATGATCAGTGGTTCGTTGGACTTAACTAACGCGTTGAGCAATATTGAAGGCAACTAACAACCATATAATTACAGGTAAACTGCGTTTCCATGATATAATGTTCTGCCCATGCTGGGAATACAAAGAGATACATATACAGTTCAAAACAATACTAACCGGACAGGGTTGGCACATCAAAACCTGAACATCAGAGAATCATAAGCACCTAGGTTTACAATGCAACACAGCTGGATGCAAAATTACCAGGTGGGGACAAATGAACATAAAGCCCTTAATAGAGATTTTTGTACAATAAGACCACATGCTCTCATTATCGTGTATGAGAAACTGAAGGCCCTCAACTATGCATCCAATGAGACTATTAAGTAAATTATCCAACAGACTCCAAATTCAATTGAGAAATTTGATAACAAAAATTAAGTATGGTATTAAGCACAGATGGCAGCAATATTTAACTTTAGTTAGTAGCTAGAAATCGAATGAGACTATTAAGTAAATTCTCCAGCGGACTGTAAGTTGGACCAAAGCCAGTAGTCAGTACACTATTATATCTGGACTCATCTTTTAGAACAGAGCAAGGTGATAAAACTGGATCGACTTTGGGACAATATGAGATTTTGGAAACAGATGCTATTTCCCCACAACCAAAGGAAATTTGCTGCGACAAACCTAGTGCTGAAAGGAATAGGAAATCAGGAAACACAATAACCAGCATTGCTTGTCTCCATCCACAATCTGAAAGGCAGAGGAAATCACTTACCACTACTTGTATCTTTGATTCCAACAGGAGTCGTGACATCATTGTCTATCCTCTTACCCACAGCTTTTGCACTGCCATAGGAACAACAAAAAAATATAATCTTTTACTTATAGGTTTGGGTTGGAAGCTAGAGAACCAAGTGAGAAAACTGCAAATGTAACCCCTCGCTCAGATGTACAGTCTACTATATGTCCCCAAGATTAGCTCTAGTGTAAGCATAATAGTCCATCAAAATGATAAACAAACAACAGCTCTTTTACAGTTACACCAATCAGGCCAATAATAAACAGCAACTCGTTTGCATGCGAACACTTAGCCTAGTGTAACTGTTAAGACATTGGTTGCGTTCGGTCCCTCTGTCCAAGGTATCAAAGGCACCCGCTCAAAACCGAATCAACACTTTTCTTTTTTCCCATCCAGAAAAAAGGAAAGGCATAAGATTCAACATAAGCATGTTCTAAGCAGCAATCTCCAGGGGAAAAGAAGAAGCACAGAATATACCTAGATTAGAGAGGAAACATACGTGGTGGAAGATTCAGCTACTTTCGGGAGCTTCAACAGTGTCATAGTTTCTTTAGGTCTCTCTCTTGAGTCGCAACCATTCAATCGATTCGCGAAAGTAAAGGTGTGGGGACGATGAAATCGGCGGTGGCGGCAACGACAAAGAACAGGTTGTAGAGATGGCTCTCCGCGGCTCCTGTCTTGATTTCCGTAGACGAAGATTGAGCGACGGGGCGGACGAAAACTAAGGCAATTTTCTTACAACAAAGATTGACGCTGAGCCAATTTTCTTGGGAATGATCAGCTGCGGCCCACCACTGTCCGCCATAGTGGGGTTTCCTCTAGAGAGATTCGAAAGAGATTGGGGGATTTCAAAGAAAAGAAATCGAAAACCATGCAGTGAATTAGCGGGAGACAAAATCGGTAGGTAGAAGGAAGCAATAGCAGAGGGAACTTACTAATTCATCCGTCAAATATGAGAACTCCAAGAATCCGTCCTGCCAGCATATGCTGCTATCCAAGGATGAAACCAGAGAAGGCAACACTTTTGGACAGTGAAATTGCTAGGCGAGCTTAATCGACGGTCGTGCAAAGTGGGATAGAGAAAAATGAAGCCAGGGGGGAGACGAAATGGAGAGGAGCAAACCGGAGGAGGTCGCTGCTTCACTAATCGAGAGGGGCAAGGGCATAGCCCTACAATTAATAGGAGGTAGCGTGTCCAGCAGAAACGTAATGGCGTACTGACCAGAAAAGCATGGTCTCGGACTCCCGGTTAAAGAGGCAAACTCAGTTCGCGTGTGGAGGAAGGAGAGGACAGCAGGGCGACCCGCAATCGCGGACTCTGTGGCAAGGCGGTGTGGATTTCGCGTACGGAAGGAGAGTTTGATTGGACAGGAGCTGGGCAGCAGGTACATGGCGGTGATGGAGACCGAATTCGTGGAGGCGAGACGGTAGCTTTGGGCAAGCGGTGGAGGAAGGCCAAAGTGGGGAGATGGAACTTGGAAGAGAGAGCCAAAGACCGTTTTTCAGTAAGCGACAAATAATGAAACAGTAGTTGGAAGTTTGGGCCAATAAAGCGTAGCCCACTTTTACATATAAGATAATGTGGAGGATATAACAAAATTAGGGCTGATGGAGTAGGAGAAAGGGACCAGCTGATGTTACTCCAGCAACTGTGGAAAATTAATTTATTACTCACCATTTTCATACTACTAATAATTATAGCTTGTCACTATATTTCATAATTATTATCCGGACGTGGAAAACGAAAGGTGGGAAGAGAATTATAATATTTTTATGTATTCACGGTGATATTTCGGTAAGTTCATGCATACCAGTTACCACTGCCATACCTGTATACAGAAAAGGAACAAACAACTTGGTATGCATACATACATACTCTGTTAGTAGGAATGGCAATGTGGCGGTTTTGGGGTTTGTCTAAACCATCTCCATCCCCGTTACCAAATACTCAAACTCATACCCGCCTCATATCCACGCGTATGGAGGTTTTGCAAACCCATCCCCATCCCCATGGGTTTCCGAAACCCATGGGTAATACCCGCCCCGTATAAGCAATATTATTATATCTAAATTTCGACATGTATGTCTTCAATTATAACACAAAACATACATGCCGATGGTAAGACAACCTAGTTGGTAAAAAGGGTTGGGTTTCGAGTTTGGGATGTGACAAGGTCCCAGGTTCAAATCCCAGTACCACCTTCTTGGTGTTCCCGGAGGCACCCTTGGTACAGGAGACGAAGTCTCCCCGATAATGGTAGCACAACGCTGAGCACTGCGCCGGGACAAAGTCCTTGATGGTTAGTATGCAAGTACCCCAAGGTTTAGTAGGCTCCGCTGTCACTCATGTGGCATGTGGGTTGCTGATGTTCCTGGGTTATCAAATAACACAAAATATACATAATAAATAGCGGAAATAAATATATTTATAGTATTTCTTAATAGGAAAAAGCATTCAATCCTAAA